GATTTGGGAATAATGATGCCCGATGACCTAACGTTAAGGGAGCATAACCAAGCAAGTATTGCGTCAGCTAGAAAAATGATAGGATGGATTACGAGAACCTTCAAGTCCAGAGATCCCATCACAATGGTTGTACTCTTCAAATCACTTGTGTTGTCCCGTCTTGAGTACTGCTCAGTACTCACTTCCCCCTTCAGAGCAAGAGAGATTGCTGAAATTGAGGGAATACAGAGAATATATACGGCACGCATAGATGAGATAAAGCACCTAAATTATTGGGATCGTCTCAAAGCTCTCCAAATGTACTCACTAGAAAGGAGACGAGAGAGATACCAAATAATATACACATGGAAAATACTGGAGGGACAGGTCCCAAATCTGCACAGTAAAATAACAATGTACTGGAGTGAACGACATGGAAGAAAATGCAGAATAGAACCAGTAAAGAGCAGAGGTGCCATGGGCACAATCAGAGAACACTGTATGAACATCAGAGGTCCACGGTTGTTCAACATCCTACCAGCGAGCATCAGAAATATTACAGTAACAACCGTGGACATCTTTAAGTGGAAACTAGATTATTTCCTTCAAGGAGTGCTGGACCAACCGGACTGTGGTGGGTATGTGGGCCTGCGGGCCGCTCCAAGCAACAGCCTAGTGGACCAAACTCACAAGTCAAGTCTGGCCCCGGGCCAGGCTTGGGGAGTAGAACTCCCAGAACCCCATCAACCAGGTATGTGGGGTTTGTTTTGTTATGCCTACCTTTCTGGGTGCCTAACCCCGGTCGATGGCAGATATGGAAAACTCCTACCACAAGTGGGTTTTGCAGGGCCATTGCTCCCTGAAACCTCTCTGAATGGGCCTGGTTCTGGGGCTGGTCCCTGGTAGGTCTGAACTTCTTAGCTAATGCCCTGGTCTAATATAACATACATTAGCCCAATGAGCTCCAGGGAGCCTCCGGGGCTCACCCAGAAAATGGCGTTTTATTACATTCAATGCTGTTTTTTTTAAATAAGAACATTTTGTTGATTAGGAGAACAGCTCATATTAACTGGAACTGAGGGATAATAAAGTAATAAAGTGATACATGCATCTGTCTGATGCTCAAAGAATAAGAATAACAGTAAGAAGTGTCCACAAAGGGGATATGCAGCTGGTGCCTTTATAGCACTGCTGAGTAATACATAATAACAGAAATAATAATGAGTAACTATGTTATTATGCACTATTTTGTTATGTATCATATAAATAAATTGCCCAGTGTTAATCATGAGGTTATTTTGAGATGATTTCGGGGCTTAGTGTCCCCGCGGCCGAAGACCAGGCATCCACCCCAAGGAAGCAGCCTGTGACAGCTGACTAACTCCCAGGTACCTATTTACTGCTAGGCAACAGTGGCATCAGGGTGAAAGAAACTCTGCCTATCGTTTCTCGCCGGCACCTGGGATCAAACCCGGGACCACAGGATCATGTTTCCAGTGTTCTGTCCGCTCAGCTGCCAGCTCCCTAATATATGTTACTTTCATCAATGTCTCCCCCTCCCTAATATTTTATTTTTTAAGGGATTTTTTTGTAGAGCCCCTTCGGCTCCCCGGAGCTATACCGGGCTGATGTGTATATATTAGACTGTGGCAACAGTCAATCGAAGGAGTTCTAAGCCTACTGGGGACCAGAGCCAGAACCTGGCCCCCCCTCAAGGGAGGCATGAGGAGCAATGGCCTAAAGACACCCACGTGCAATTGGAAGCAGTCTTTGTTTGCAATCTACCAGGTCAGGCACCCAGAAAGGTAGGAATTCCAAAACAAACTACTGCTGATCAAATAAATTGATCAGCAGTAGTTTGCTGATCTCTATGCGCCCTGTGAGTACTGCCCCTGCGTGACAGAGTTATCTTCCCTTAGGCGTTCGGGAACCATTCCTGAATGGAGAATGTTGTCTCTGGTCCAGCTTCTGTTGGGGCCGGGCTGGTGTCCCTGGAACTCCGGGTCACTTCTTATGTTCCTCGCCAGGGTTCCGGGACTGGCATAGTTTATGGTGGGGCTTCAGGCTTGCCAATTTTGTTGTCTTCCCTAGTTGGGAAGACGCTGGGAGTCGGTCGGCCGAGCGGACAGCACGCTGGTCTTGTGATCCTGTGGTCCTGGGTTCGATCCCAGGCGCCGGCGAGAAACAATGGGCAGAGTTTCTTTCACCCTATGCCCCTGTTACCTAGCAGTAAAATAGGTACCTGGGTGTTAGTCAGCTATCACGGGCTGCTTCCTGGGGGTGGAGGCCTGGCCGAGGACCGGGCCGCGGGGACACTAAAGCCCCGAAATCATCTCAAGATAACCTGAAGATAGTTGGTAAATGAAACTTAGTGTTTTTACACATCTTTACCAGATCTTGGTGACCTTTCTGCGTCTGCTCGGGATTCGGTTTCTGGCCTACCTCGACGACTGGCTGGTGAGGGCTCCCAGTCGGTCTACTTGTCTGCTCGCCAGGGATATTGTTCTTTCCAGCTTGCCGGATTCGGGTTCCTGGTGAACTGGAGAACATTCTATCTGGTTCTGTCTTGGATTCGGCCCTGGTTGGGTCTTTTTGGGGACTCTTGGTCCACTTCTTTCTCCCTCCAGAGACGTTGCTGTTGCTACAGTCCCACCTTCGGCTGTTTCTGAGGGGGTCCCAGGGTCACTCGATGGTTGCTCGAGCACTTTTTCGGGAGTCTGAACTTTGCCATGCTGGTCTACTTGATGGGTCGGGTTTGGCTTCGGCATCTGTTTTGGTTCCTTTGGGGATGCCCCTTCCACTTCCCTCGCGATCATTGGTTCATCCTCCGGGGGCCTTGTGTCGGTGCTGCGTCGCCTGCTTCCTCTTTAGGGTTTTTGGAATTCAGTGCCTTGACGCCTCCCCAAGCCTTCGCTCGATGTGATCACTGACGGGTCGTCTCTCGGCTGGGGCTGTGTGATCAGGTCTCACCAGTCCGGCCGGGGACAGTGGGGTCCATCCTTCTGTTGGGCTCACAGCACAGTTCAGGAGTTCACGGTGGTCTGGTTTGCACTTTGGAAGGTTTGGGTCCCTCGGGGCTCTCTCATCCAGCACCATTCGGACTGTCCTCCGGTGGTTCATTGCCGGAACCACGGGGGTTCTCTTCAGTCCTTGCCTCTTTGGGGTTGGTCTCTTTGGGTGGCTCACCTGCTGGTTTCTCGGGGTTTGACTCTCCGCTCAGTTCATGCCTAGGGTGTGTCCATCGTCCTGTCAGACAACCTGTCTCAGTTCATTCCTCTGTTCATGGAATGGCTGGTCTTTGCCGACTTGTTCGTTGGTTCTGCCGGATGTACAGACTCCTGGATATGGACATCTTCGCGTCGGCGTGGTATCTCCCGTTCTATGTGGTGTCCTTCCCCGCCTACGAGGCATTCGCGGTAGATGCTTTTCGGCAGGACTCATGGAGTTCCCATGTGTTGCTGGTGGGCTGTAGGCATTTAAAATTATCAGCTTATCATCCTGATTCCAGACCTGCAATGCCATTAAGTCAGTGTCTCGAGGGTTTTCAAATATTAACTCTCTTACCTTCAGGTGTTCTTTCACCAGCACAGCCACTCCTCCTCCCTTCCTAGTTTTCCTTTCACGTCTCCAAACTGAATCACCCCTTGGGATTATGACTTCATTTAATATATTTCCTTAAAGTTTCGTCTCTGATAATGCAACAAAATATGGGACCTTGAACTGAATTATATCTTGCAACTCCATAGTTTTTGACCTCACTCCATCTATGTTGGTATATACAACTTTCAGGAACATGTTCCCTTTCCCTTTGCTCATTACTCCCCCTTCCACTACTGATTTTGTTGCCTTGTTTTTATGTACCATTTCACAAGCTTTCCAGTCCCTGACACTTTATAGAAAAAAGAATTTCTGTCTTCTTCATTTCTATCCCCATTTAGACATTTTGCTTCAATGAGGTTCATTTTCAGCTTTTCTCTGTCCTCTTTAGAGACGTCTTGTCATATTGACCAATGTTTGCCAACCTCATCACTCTGCAATTTCCTGCCATTTCTAAGCACTTACATAATGTTTTTCACTCCATTAAACATCACCCTTTAAGGGCGGATCTTGTCTTTCTCATATTATCCTATTCTAAAATCACTGATATTTTCCTTTGAGTCTTCACCTAAACCTACTATTTTCTCTATGATTTTCATCTCTTCTGCTGCTCGGTCCACCCTAGATGAAATTTCCTTCTCTAAACATCCAAAAATTATTATGGACTTACTTCTATCTGCAATGTTTTGTAGTAGTTTACTGTTGGTAACCAGTTCTTTTCTAATTGCTTGCCTAATTTCTGCTTCTTGTTGGTCATTTCTGGTTTTGACTTCTGAACACACTTCCTTGATTGTCTCTTTCTCTTTTACAACTTGTGCATACGTCTCTTTTATTTCTTCTTTATACTTTTTAGTTCTTTATTAGCCTCCTCTATTTGAGTTGCCAGTGAAGTTTCTTGTTGCATCTCCTTACCTAACTCCATGTTAGCCCTCAGGGTCCTTTCGAGTTGTTCACCATATGTGTCTATTTTCTTGTTAATTTCTTCAAATTCCCTACTCTTCACTTTCCATGCCTCATTATCCTTTACTAGTTCCTTAATGTGTTCCTCCTGCATCCTTACCTTATCAGTCAAGCTGGAAATTTCCTTATCTTGTTGGAAAATACTTCCTTTTAAATATAATGTGATCATAGGCCCTTGCTCCCAGAGCCTCTTTTGAGGGGCCTAGGCTCTGACTTGTGGTTCCTGGTAGGCACAAAGAACTCTGCGACTGATGATGCTTGGTAATATGGCACTTAATCAGTGATGATTAAGTGCCATATAAAGCTCTCCTTCAGGAAGCTGATGGGGCTCCCCACAATAAAAGAATAGATGATAATTCAAAAAGAAGCTAAAAGTAATTGAATATAGTATTTTTACTTATTTATTATTTTTCTAGTCAACATAATTATCTATTTTCTTATTATTTATTATGTGTTCATTTTAGATGTGAGCGGTGTGCAGCAGGCTACTGGTCCTTCCCATTCTGCCAGCTGTGTGACTGTGACTTGCGTGGAACTGAGCAAGATATATGTAGCCAGGTGTTTAATTCATAAACAGTTTTCAGTTTTAAAAATTAGTATTATTATTTATACAAATTATTTACTATAATATATATACTTTTATAATTATACTGCATATAAAGATAATAGGGGTAATAAATTTTGCTAATATCTTACTCATGTTGAATTCTTAAATTACTAAAGAAAGTATGTATATTTTCTGGTAGTAAATATTTTGATATCAGTGTGCCACAACTTTAAATTATGTTATTTTTTTGCTCTTTGGATTAAATGATGAAGGAATGTGGTCTTAATCACTGCACTGCTCTGCATTAAAATACGTCACACCTTGGGTGCGCCAAAAAAAATTCTTGCCACAAAATTATTTTCTCTTCCTATATTGTTAAAATGCAGTCTCTGATCACGGAAAACTAAAAAAAAATTGTATGTGACATACTTTAGCCACGATGGAGCTGGGAAGTTGAGCATATAATGGGGGCTGAGCGATAGAGCACTCAAGGTTACTAGGCCCCGCCACCCCGTGGGGCGGCAGTTGCCGCGAATATAATGTTTTACAATTATTTTCATGTTTCTGATTCGTTTCTTCTCTGGTTTTATGCTGTAATATTATTCAAAAGTGTGTAATTTGTGGAATTTATATAGTTCAATGTGTGGAACATCACTATGCTCAAAATTATGGGGCTCATATATGTGACATGTATATTATATTCTACGATCAATCAAACAGTGTTTTGCTGTTATTACACTATATACACACATTGTATATATCCATCTACATATGAGTGCATAGGGAACCACTAAGTTGGTATGGTGAGCCCAAAAAACAAGAGTGAGCTGCCACACCCAGCCAGCCTTCCCCTAACTCCCACAACACCTAACTCGCCAACATTACTCCTCCCACAATACTGTTTGTGGTGTTATTACACTATATACTCACATTATATATATAAGTATCTACATGTTTTATTCACCTTAACTGTACAAGTAAGCTAGTATGTGTCCATACAGCATAGTGGCCACTGCATGATAAGTCACACAGTAGCCAACAGACGAAAGCCTCACTCACTCCTTCACCAAAATGGTTCCTCCCAAAAAACTTATTTTGCTGTTATTACTCTCTATACACACTTTATATATAAGTATCTACATTTGTGTTCACCATAGCAAACCACTAAGCTGGTATGGTGATTCCAAAGAATAGCATGTTGCCAAACACCAGCCAGTAGCCAATGCCACCTCTTCCTTCCTCCCTCACCAACAGTACTCCTCCCACTGCTAATTCACATTGCTAATTCTCACCACAATCATGCTATTATCAGAATCCTGGTCACTAAATCATGTAAATGAATAATTTTACACATGTTTAATTGTAAAGTAACATGAGAAATCATTTGAAGAATTTTAGATATGCGAAATAATGGCAGTGTGCTGTGGCTAGTGCTGTGAACATCTTGAACAGCATTTATTCACTGATATCTGAACATTGTGAACAGTTTTTATCACAGTCAGGGTCTTTTATAATACTATCATGGCTAAATAATACCAGATACATATATATTTGGACTTTATAGGCGATGCGGTGGTCAAAAGCTGAATAGCTATGCTGTTAGCTCATGGTGAATGCACCAGCCTTGGTTGCTCACTCAGTACTGAGGCCTTCACACTCAGGAATGTTGCCCACAATTTTTTTTTAATGGCACGTCTGTTTAGGAAAACCCTGAGGAAGCTGATGTGAACCCCGTGTAGCCACAGGCGTTTTGAATGATACGCTATATCTATGAGATTCCTGAGACGTGTTGCGCATCACCCGTCGTGAGCCTCAAGGTGCGTTGCGCAGTGCAGTGGTTAATGGGCTTACCATCACTGATCAGTTGTTATGGGTATACTATCATTGACCAGTTACTGTGGGGTCTATTATCATTGACCAGTTACTGGGGGTCTACCATCAATGACCAGTTACTGTGGGTCTACCACCAATGACCAGTTACTGTGTGTCTACCATCAATGACAAGTTACTGGGAATCTACCATCATTGACCAGTAACTGTGGGTCTACCATCAGTGACCAGTTACTGTGGGTCTATCATCATTGACCAGTTACTGTGGGTCTACCATCATTGACCAGTTACTGTGGATCTACCATCATTGAACAGTTACTGTGAGTCTACCACCATTGACCAGTTACTGTGGGTCCACCATCATTGACCAGTTACTGTGAGTCTACCATCATTGTCCAGTTACTGTGGGTCTACCATCATTGATGAGTTACTGTGGGTCTACCATCATTGATGAGTTACTGTGGGTCTACCATCATTGATGAGTTACTGTGGGTCTACCATCATTGATGAGTTACTGTGCATCTACCATCATTGATTAGCTTCTGTGTCTTACTATCATTGATGAGTTACTATGAGTCTACAATCATTGATTTGCTTCTGTGTCTTACCATCATTGATGAGTTTGTGTGTGTACCATTAATGATCAATTTCTGTGAGTCTACCATCAGCAGCTCTTCATCATTGGTATGTCATGAAATTCTCATACTCATAACTGTCATGTCAAGGGCTTCTCATTTTTTTTTATTGGTTTTCATAATAATAATATTAATTTTCACTGTGAGAAAATGCACTGTGAGATATACACTGTGAGAAACTCAGTATTATATATGGTTTTTCAATACTTATTTGTTTTGTTAAACATTTTGTTTATATATCCTGAATTTGATGAATTATACTGACATTCAGATATGATATTTATAGCTCCAAATGTTAAAGAATTCAATATTTATTTATTTGAGTGCATGTAAAAACTAAATTAATATTTTGTATATTGTATTTTTCATAACATTTTTTACCTCTTTCCCATGGTAGTTTGTTACTCTTCATGACTGAATGCCTTCCACAACCTCTGAAAGTGAGAAATGAAGTAATGTAACATTTTTCTAACACTAATGTAATATCATTGTTCTAGGATGATGCCAGTTGCTATTGCAAACTGAATGTTCAAGGTCGTTCCTGTGACACATGTCGATCAGGCTCTTATAATTTAGAGGAGAGTAATCCTGATGGTTGCACCAAGTGTTTCTGTTTTGGCAAGTCTGAATACTGCTCCTCAGCTGACCTTTACTGGCACGAAGAAGAGGTAAGTTTTGTGTGTTCTTGAGTAAAAGTTAATAGGGGTGATAGGATTGTTATCCTCTATTGTAATCATGTTTAGAGGGCCTGAACAGTGGTTCCCTGAAGGTAGCACTGAGATAGCTCCAAACATACCTCATCCTGGAGACATTCATGTTTCAACGTGTTAAACATTCCTCAAGAGTGTGGGAAAAAAGATGTTCCATCAATGATGGACTGTAAATTTACCAAGATAGAACAAATATTTGACATTCAGTACCTTCCTCCATTGGGTAAGAGTGACTATTTTTTGTGGAAATTAAATATACAGTGTATCATAAACTAGAAGACAATGAGGAAAATGAACTTGATTTCAAGAGAGGACACTATGGAAAACCTCTTTAACCCTCAAACCGCTAGGGGCCGAAATGGATTTAACACCCACATGGGCAACACAAAAAAAAAAAAAATAAAAAAAATTCTTTCGTCTTATAGAAGTCTTCATTTTTGTTCCCTGATCATGGAAAAAAAAAAAAAAAATCGTAGGTAGCATATTTCAGCTGCAATAAGGTAGGGAAGTCTGGCAAAAAAACCAGCGTTGAATGTAATGAAACGCCATTTTCTGGGTGAGCCCCGGAGGCTCCCTGGAGCTTATCGGGCTAATGTATGTTATGTTAGACTGGGACATTAGCTATGGAGTTCAGACCTACCAGGGACCAGCGCCAGAACCTGGCCCCTTCAGAGAGGTTTCAGGGAGCAATGGCCCTGGAAAACCCCTTTGTGACTGGGGCTTTCCTTATCTGCCATCGACCGGGATTAGGCACCCAGAAAGGTAGGTGTAACAAAACAAACCCCACATGGTAAGAAACTACAACAAAAACCAAACAGAGAGGAATAAACTCCCTACAATCCCAAGGAAACAATCTAACAATCAATTTATTGCCGCGCCGGTCGTTTGCACAGCCCTCCACTCCTCGGAAGGGTGGGGGGGTGGGGGGGGGCCCGGACCTCACCACGCTGGCTGCCTTCAGTTCGGAAACTAGGCTTCAACCAATGCAAAAAACCCCGCCGACCGGATGGGAGGGAGGGTAGCCAGGGAGCCTCTGGGGCTCACCCAGAAAATGGCGTTTCATTACATTCAATGCTGGTTTTCTTTGGGGAGCCCCTACGACTCCCTGGAGCTACATACCCAAAGAGAAGGAAAATAGGGACTTACCCAGGAGGCTGCGGCCACAAACTTCTCAACACGAAGTCGAGACAACTGCTGCAACCTAAAGCAACACCAGAACGCCGAGGAGCAGGGACATGCACCAAATAACAGGCAGCCAGGACCCTGTTCGAGTTCCAAAATCCACGCGTTCGAATATGTGCCCAAGACATATTACCAAACACGGCAGCCAAAGCTGCAAACTTCCGCAAATCATGGGCGCGAGGATAGACCGCAGGTTGGCTAGACTTAATAACCCTGCGGACAACCTGGGAGACCCGAGCCCTGTAACAGGGAACGAGGGAAACCAGATCAACCCAAAGTGCATCCCCAGCCACCCCGGCTGAGCGCGCAGGTAACTGCGAAGTGTTGCAACCGGACCAACACATGATGCACCCTCCGGCTGAACCAACCAAACATCAATGACCCACAGACCCCTCCGGAAAGCAGCCGTTTCGTTCTTCGCCAGAAAAGATAGAGAAGGCTGCAAACGGTCAAACCTACCCCCAGGACCAAAAGAGCAGAAACCCCTGCCCCAGAGGAGAGCATGAAGCTCCCCTACCCGGCCTCCAGAGGCCAATGCCAACAAAAACAAAGCCTTGGAAAAACAATCGGAACCGAAGGGGCCACCACAAACCGAGGAGAGGAAAGATAAAAGAGCACCCTGTCCAAGGACCAGGATGACTCAGGAGGCGTAGGAGCAGGCCGGAGGTGAAACATAGCATGGGAAAGCTTACGAAACGGGGCAGATGTGACGTCCACCCCGAAAGCTAGCTTGAGCGGCTCCTCCAGCGCCACACGATACGAGGCGACAGTATTAGACATCAAATGACGGTCCTGAAAAAGCCAAGAAAGAAAGGACAAGACAATCCGATCCGAAAGAAAAGACAACCTACGAAGAACCAGAAAATGGCAAAAAGAAAGCCATGAAACTTCATACTGTCGCCAAGACAAAGCTCTCAGGTGGGACACCATCAATGAAGCCACCTGATCACCATAGAATTGGTGATACACCCGCGTAAAAAAAAAACAGACACGAAGAGCAGAGGAGAAGGTCGAACCAGCCCTGTACCAGATCGGACTGACCTGCTGAAAGAGGCGGAGCCGCGGGAAATGTCCCGGGTTCGGGCACTGGGCCAATAGCACCAGAAACCAAGGCTGGGTCGGCCACCGAGGGGCCACAAGGACTACTCTCCCTGGGAATGTCTCCAACCGAACCAGAACCCGAAGCAACAGCTGGACCGGGGGGGAAGAGGTACAGGTAACCCCACATCGACCAGTCCTGCCGAAAAGCATCCACTGCAAACGCTTCGCAGTCGGGAAAGGGCGTCACATAGATTGGGAGACGCCGAGACCACGCTGACGCAAAGAGGTCCATATCTGGGAGACCGTACGTCTGGCATATCCAACGAAACGAGTCGTCGTCGACTGTCCATGGACTTCCATCCCCATGACTGTCGACAGGGGATGGAAGCGAGACAAAACGTTGGACACTCCCCGGACATGAACTGCACGGAGAGCCAAACCCCGAGAATCCAGCAGACGAACCACTCGAAGGGGCCAACCCCAAAGAGCCAAGGACCGAAGAGAACCCCCGTGGTTCAGGCAATGAACCACTGGAGAACAGTCCAAATGGAGGCGAATGGTCGATCCCGGAGAGACCCGAGCCCTCCAAAGTGCGAACCAGACTGCCGCGAACTCCTGAACCGTGCTGTGAGCCCAAAGGAAGGACAGACTCCACCGTAACTGGCCTGCCTGGTGAGCACTGGTCACAAAGCTCCAGCCGAGAGACGACACGTCTATGAACACATCGAGTGAGGGCTCGGGAAGGCGCCAAGGCACCGAACCCGAAAACCCTGAAGAGGAAGCCGGTGACGCAGCAACCGACACAAGGCTCCCCGGAGGATGAAACCAACAATCGCGAGAGAGGCAGAAGGAACGTCCCCGAAGGAACCAAAACAGACGCCGAAGCCAAACCCGACCAGGCGGGTAGACTAGCACGGCAAAGTTCAGACTCCCGCACAGCCGCTCGAGCAACCTCCGAGTGACCTGGGGCCCCCTCAGAAACAGCCGACGGTGGTCCCGCAGCCGCCACAACGCCTCTGGAGGGAGAGAAAAAGAAGCGGTCCAAGAATCCCAAACAAGACCCAGCTAGGTCCAAACCTGGGACAGAACCAAATGGGACTTCCTCCAGTTCACCAGGAACCTGAACTGACGGCGAGGCGAGAAGCAAAAAAACAGACACTGCTTCCTTCAGGATAGGTGCAAAGAGCTTCAACAGTGCAGCCGATGCCCTAGCTGCCAAAGTCAGTGCCCCAGATGAAGGCCCTTCACTCAACGCCCCTACATCCTCCTCAAGCCAAGCAGAAGACAGCTTGAGAAGGGAAAAGAAACGCAAGACCGAAGCCAAAGCCCATGGGCGCACACGACTCCTCTGCAACCAATGAAGCCGAAAACTGAGGAACCTGCACGTGAAACTGGAAAAGGCCAACATCTCAAGAAAGCACGGGAGCAAACAAGCATGCATTAAGGTGCTCAAACTCGCCCCCCAGGTAAACCTGCAGAAAAGTAGAAGTTACCCGCCAATCAAGCGTGCGGGTCCAACAAAACCCATGCCACACCCCCAACGAAAAGAAAGGGCAGTCTTCCAGCCAGGAAGACTCCGGAACCTCCAAACGCACCCAAAAATGGGAAGAAGAACCGTACTCAAACGAGGACGGATCCATTGCAGAGGCATAACCCGGATCTCGCAAGAGGTATGCAGCAAGAGCTTTCCGAGCCACCTTCATGGAGATACGGGAAGTAGAAAACCTCTGGAAAGACGGATCCGAGGTACCCAAAGGAGCCCGAAACCGAACCTGGGGAGGAGTTGAACCCAAATCATACTCATACAGGGAAGGGGGGTGGGGTAAGAAAATCCCTCCCCCTGCAACAATAAGCCCCGTGAGGAAGGCGAAAGCACCCAAGCGGGGTCAAAGGGGGGCCCAAGGCCCCTAGGTTGACTCCTTCCCAGCCCCAGGATCCCCCACATCGGAACCCGGGGCAGAGCCATCTTCCAAACCCTCTACCTCTGAAGAAAACGCAGAGTCCAAGGGAAAGGCAGACAAGAAGGGGGTCTGTTGGGGGGACCCAGAAGCCTTGGTAGGAGGAACTGGCTTAAATGCCTCCGTCCCCGACCCAGTTGGGGCAGCCCCTGAGTCAGCCTGAGTCTCATTACCAACTAAACCCTGGGCCGAGGCCGAAACCCTCAGACGTTTTGGAACCAGACACAGGGGGGGGGGAGGTGCAGGAAGAACCACAGGGAAAGGACCAGGGGGCGCAGCAGGAGCCAAAGCCAAAGCGACTAACACTCCCAGGTCAGGATCCATAAAACCAAAACGGGCAGTCTCGGGGCATCCAGGTGGGAAACCAACCTAGCGCTTTGCAATAACCTAAACCTAAAATGCAACGCTGATGCTGCCTGTACCCTAACAGGAACATCCTCGGAGTAAAACTGGAGCGCAAGCAGAGAACATGACTCGCAAGACTCTGTGTCAAAGGTGTCATTGACCCAACAGGTAGCATGACGGAAGCAAAACAGGTGACTGTCACCCTGAAACAAGGGCACACTGCAACCTTCAAACCCGCACAAGGCAGGTTGGAACTCGAGAGACGCATCCATGGGTCCCCGAGCCCTGACAGGGGTTTCCAGGGCCCATAGGGTAACAACTACGGGAAGCCCGGGCAAGGTGTTGCTAACCAGTTAAGAAACCCAAACAAAATAAGGGTAGATGATAATACTGAAAACCCCTGGGACGTGTACAAGCACGGGGGTTTAGCAG